CAGCAGGAAATCCCACGTAATTAATTAGAAGGCAAAATTGACAATGCAGCACACTTTTTGACATCTTCAAGGTGAAGACATTAAAGAGACAAATATTTCTTTCTTTTGTCTAACTTTTTTATCGTGGTGATTTCTTGCATCTTATCTATACTGGTAGAAGGTAGCATTCAAAAGACATGAATCATTTTGTGTTGGTTCTTTTGAAGTGTAGGCTTATTTTGGTGTTAGTTCAGACTACATTCAAGCAAATTTATTTGCTTCATCATGGGAATTGAAGTTTTAGTCAGCTTAAGTTTAGTTACATATACTGAATGTGTATCTCTTGTATAATGCTGTAATTGAACCAATTTTATTTTGTTCTTCAGAATCCCAAAATCCTACTGCTAGATGAAGCAACAAGGTAAGGAAGAAAATAATCATAGAATCATAGAAATTAAGGGCTGGAGGAGACCTTGAAAGATCATTGCCCCCTGCTCTGGGTAGGAATACCGCTGAGATCAAATGATTCCAGCAAGATAATGAAGCTTAGCAATGTCTTATGCTTGGAGCAAGCAACTAGGTATTAGGGTGATTTGATTCCACTTCTCCTACAGATTCTGCATGACCTTTGGTCATTTTTCTCTCCACTAAACACGATATACTTTCCAATCCTTAAGCAGTTAGAGAGCCTCTGTAAATCACTATGTTAAAGGACAGTCAGTACCTTATTATAAATTTTTCAGGGGGTTCCATTTCTTACCATGTTTAGTGACTGTTCAGTATTGCATAATGTGTGTGCTGTATAGCAATAGTGGGAACTTTTATAGAAAGTAACCTAGTACAGACCAGGTTGTGATGATTTTAGAGGTGAATGACACTTTTTTTTTTTCCCTTCTTTTTTCTGTGAATTAGTGCTTTGGATGCTGAAAATGAGTATCAAGTGCAGGAAGCTCTAGATAGGTTAATGGAAGGGAGAACAGTCCTAATTATTGCCCACCGTCTGTCCACCATTCAGAATGCTGATTCTATTGCAGTTCTTGACCAGGGAAGAATTATTGAATGTGGAAAACGCGAGGAACTTCTTGCAAATCCAGATGGACTTTTCAGGAAACTAATGAAGAAACAAGCTTTCCTTCAGAACAGTGAAACCTTTTCATTAAATTTAAAATCTCAAAAAAAGAATGCTTTAACAGAATATTTATGAAGTTAGTTATAGGAGGTGGAATCTACAAAGAATATAACTTATGTTTCAAGGTATATAAAGTAAGTGCTGCATTTTATTCAAAGGGTAAAATTATCCTTTAGGAACTTAGATGTGTTCTTTTTATTCAGAAGTTTTAAATAATTGTATCTTTTTAAATGTCCACAGCACTGAGATTTGTTTTCAATATATAGACTTTTCTGCTTTGGAATATCTGAACTTGTACACTTTGGGATCTTGGCTGTTTTAATGCACTGTATAGCAACAAACTGTTCTCAAGCAAGTTCAGGATTTAGTGAATGCAAAACTACACATTCTGGTAACTTCACCACCATCATCTCTTACTTTTTGTACTGATCACTACTTTGATTTTTAGTGTCTGAAGCTAAAGAATGTGAGACACCTAGTGGTATCTGAAAACGTACTATTCACGTCTCCTTTTTTTGTAATGCTGCTTCCTTTCTTCCTCTTCCGCCCCAGCTTTTCTTCCAAAATAGAACTGGAAATTGAGTTATGATCAGTCTGCAACAACATAAAGAATTATTTATAGACAAAAATTACTTGAAGCTTGGCACGAAGTACCAGTCCTTAAAACATGATTTTTACAGTTAAGACAAAGGGAGCTTAATCAATGTGAAAAGTATTTTTAACATATACAATTCAGAAAAATCCTATCTTCTATGTTTTGCAAGTCCTCAGGCCACCTTTGTGTAATGAAACTGAACTGGAATAAAGATTGCTGCATTTTTTTTTTTTTTTTGTCACTTTACAAGGTACACTAAAGAAGCAAGCAAAAATTTCTTCTTACAGGTTGGGGTTTGTTTTGTTTTTTTTTTTCCCCTTAAAAATTAGGTTTTGTTGAGTCATGAAAACCCGTGAGGGCAACCAGGGGATTAGTCAAGTTTTGTGATCTAATTGTGAAGATTAGTGAAGTGAAATTTGGGATCAGTTCCCCAAACCTGAAAGCCAAGCAACTATGATAAGAGGGATATGTAGTCGCCATTTCACATTTTCTTAACTCCCATGACAGCCAAACCCTTGGGCAAAAAGATACCTATTTAGTAGTAGTAGTAGTTTAGTTAATAGGTTTTGCTAAAACAGTACAATAAAATGAAAAATAAAATTTATATAATTATAGCATTGATATAGTTTATAATTTATGATATTTGCTAATAGTATACATTAAGATTATCCATTAAAACAGAACGTAGTATATGATGATAATACATAGAAGTAAAAAAGGGGAAGTCTCTCTGATTTCTGGCCCTTATTTGTGCAAGTAACGCAAATATACTTAGGGTATAGAAGAAGCTCCAATTTGTTAGAGAAGCCAATTTTTTTTATTTGGTGGCCCAGTATTTAAAATGTTCCATGAATAGAAAAATCCATTTTCCTTCTTAAAAAAACCCAAACAAGACCATAAACAGTGATTTAAGCATCTATCTAATTTTTCCTACAGGGGCATATTCTGCCCAAATATGGCGTCTGACACCACTTGCCCATGACAAGTGCAAATCTGAATGAATCAGTCTAGTAATGGCTTCCCACTGTTCGCAATGTTGTACTGCAGATAGGCAGGTTTCTAGGGCATAGGCATGCTTTTTATCAGTCTCAAGAAGGGGAAGTTTGAGAGAGTCTCATTGCGTCCATATCTATCCGTCTGCTGGTATCTTTACTATTTATATTGTCTTGTTTTAAATAGTGATTCTCAGTACATTTCCTGGGATGTTTGTCTGGAGGAGAATATAGATGTTATTATTTAACCAAAGAACAAACCAAACAAAGGTGTATTTAGAAAAGTAGAGGCTTCTGAAATGCACTTTGGGTATCTGGTAGGTATAAAAGATCTAATTTTCATCTAATAGTTTAGAATTCTTAATTGAACTAAGATGCTCACATGAACTAGTGTTCTCCCCCTCTCCATCCTCCGAGCACCCTTGTAGAATTCGGTAGAGATAAAAGCTGTCTTAAAGTAGTTGGAGAACTAACACTGTCCCCTTCAAGTAAGATGTGAGGACACAAATGTTAGAGAGCTATAGTAAAGCTGGGAAGATGAGGCTTGATGTTCTTTCTTTCTAAATTAAAAAAGTTTATATTTGAAGAGGGTTTTTTCCTCTCTCTCTCTATCTGTGCTTTGTGTAGGGGATGAAAATTCACAAGGTCAAATAAGAACTTATGTATTTTGCAGGTCACCTGAGATCTGTCTGTTCTGGGAAACGTACCTACTGCTAAAACCCACTGTCAGCATACGGTAGATTTTCATAATTATCTCAGGCAGAAATGTTAAAATATTGATGCTTGAATGGGGTACAGCATTTTTGTGCAAGTGTTCATTCCAGGAACATCTTTGGATGTGGACATGAGGAATACAGCAGACAAGTTGTTGTTGGGTTTTTTTTTTTGTTTTGTTTTGTTTTTGTCAATGGATGTTCAACATCCTTGAATTTCAGAGAGAATTACTGAAAGCCTTAAGTGGCTTATTTTCTAATTTAATAATTAAGCCATTGTATGGAACTTAAAAGGAATACTAAAAATATTTCTAGATGTTCATTAATATCTATTAATCTAGGCCAGGGTTTTCAACCTTTTTTTTGGTTGGTGAACCCTGACAGCCAGTCGGGGGCTGCGGGGGTGGGGTCCTGCGCACCCACCCGCACAGTGGCAAAACCAGAAGTGCCAGCGGCGCACAGTGGCAAAACCGGAAGCATCGGCAGCACGGAAACAAAAGCGGCCCAACCCCTGCTTCTCTGGGTCAATGCTGCATACCTCCTGGGACCTTCCCAAGTACCCCCAGGTTGACAACCCCTGATCTAGGCTTTAGATTTTCTCCTTTCCATTCTTAATTGTAAACAACAATTGTGCCAAAAGATGATACCAAATCTACAAGACAAAAATGTACCTTAGCAGTACTTTTGAAACTTCAGTGCTACCTACTAATTATTTTCTCTACATACCCCTTTCTCAATGATGGGCTAGACCTGGAAAACCATTACTCATATGGATAATTATTCATCAGGGGCTCATCCAGCACTTCATTTATGTTCATAGCTTAAGCAGTCAAGCTAAAGATTTTTTTTTTTTTTTGTCAAGGAAATGAATGTAATGAACACTGCTTTTTCACTGGTGGTTGTTTTATAAACAGACACTTCAGCTTTGATTCAGGAGGCGGCCAGTGGCTCTGTCATGACAGGCACAGTAGCAACGTGAGTTTATAGCAGGCCCTTGTTCAGGATGGAACCGAGGGAAACATTCATGGGGGCAAACCAGAAATGTGATGGACAAGGGAATTTTTCAGAAATATCTAATTGATCTTTTAGTAAGACTCGGTGGCATTTGAATTCTTATATCCTTTAGGCACACTTGAAAAATGTACTCAGTTGGAAATGAACGGTCTATCACAGCACTTATGTTCCACTGCAGGGAGCTGTGCTGGGCACTGTGGATAGCTGCATAACCTACAGACCCTACAACTCGTGTAGGTACTGCTGTATTTGGGTCTGGCTTACTGCATACATCCAAAATAGATCTATTCTGTACAGATGCACCCTTTACTGCAGTTATATACAGTTCTAGCTCTGAGGCTGGTAGGAAGACTTTAGTTCTTCTACGAAGGAAACCGTTAAATATACAGTATGTCTTTAAAAACACGTGAAGTATTGCTCTCTCTAGTTCAAAAGGGAATCTTTTGAATGGTTACCCATATAAAGACTAATTCTAGTAAATTGTTAATGTATGTCTCTGCCAAACTTGATAGTGTAAGAGTGATGTTGTAGCCATGATGGTCCAGGAATTATGCAAAGAGAAAACGTCTTAGGGTGCTGTCTTTTTATTGGACAGAGTAGGACCAACAAAAGATCTCGCCTTAAGACATCCTTGCCACTGACAATCTTGATAGACTTGTTTTACCAAGGACCATTTGGTTTCATGCAGCCTTTGAGTCCACTGCAGTGTGATGAAGGAAAGGAAACGAAGCAAAAACCAATGTAATGGGGGTACAGAACAGTGTATTGCAACTCCTACTGTTAAAATGAACTTGTTTGTTTATATTAACTGACTGTATTTTTTCAGCATTGCTTTCCTGGTTGTATTTTTTTTTTTTTTTTAGTAACTTTTTTATTATGGAATAAAATTTTATAAATAACATTTATTTTACCTGTCATCTCATGTTGGAACTGTCCTGTTTTCACAATGTGATGGGAATTTTTAGAGGTGTGTTTAAAAAAAAAAAAAAAAAAAAAGTTTCCTATTCTGCATTTTTGGAATTAATGACCCTAGTGCCTATGTCGTATTCTTCTTCAGCACCTGAAACTCAATGTGTACTGATCACTGTATACAGAAAAAGAGGTGTAACTTGTAAATAGTTCTCTTCAGGTCTTTTTTCAAGTGTAAGCACCTTAAGCTCGGGATTCTTTTTAACGAGCCTCTCCTTTGCCGTCTTCTGATAGCTCTTTAAGGTACCATAGTGAGAACAGGCTCTTCTAGAAACAGGAAAGAAAGGATTGTATCATATGGTCCTAAAGCTCACCTGTGCTAAAGCAGACTTATTCCAAAGGCAAAACTTGTTCAGAAATAGTCTCATAGATGCAAGGGGTACAATTAATCTCTAATAAGGATAATTTAAACAGGATCCATGTGAGAAACTCAGGATGTGAAAATGAAATTTGGCTCAGATCTCCCCTCTGCCTAATACCATTTTAAGAAGGGATTTCTGTTAACCCTCCTGCAGAACACCATGGGAGGTTGGGTACCCCTCTTACATGGCATGTTCTTTGTCCCTGGGTTTTCTCTGCATTATTATCAGCATCTCTTGTATAGAACAGAAGTAAATGGGATTTTCCAGTGCAGTTGTGAGCCCCGTTGAGCTTGTAAGCTCTTTGAGGTTGGAATTGTCATCTTATTAGATGTTTTAAGAACAATCACAATGGCACCCTAACCTAGTCAAAACCTGTATGCACTACTTTTAATCCTGATGGATGTTTTTATGACTGCCTGGCGGCCAGGGCTTATTACTAGGGACCTACCTAATTCATGGAGGCTGCCTCTGTATTTCATGGTCTTGGCATGGCATCAGGTGCCATTTTCACAGCAGTGTGACAGGCCCTGCCACACCTCCAGTCAAGGGACCCCAGAAGTCCTGCCTCTTCTCCAAAATTGACAGATGGCCACCTGTCAATTTCCAGGGAGAGGTGGGACTTCCGGGGGAGCCCTCTGTCAATATTCCCCTCTCTCCCTTGTTCCCTCCCTACCCTGCCACCAACGCTGTGCTCCAAAACGCCAGGGTTTCCTGCCCTTTTCTGTTTGCAGCCTGGGCACAGGCATGGGGAGCAGAACAGCAAGGGCTGGCACTGCTCAGAGCCACAAAGCAGTAGGTGGGACAGCTGCAGCTGGACTCACGTCTTGGTGCTGGTACAGAGCTGCTGCCAGAAGTGGAGCTAGTGGAGGCAGGCAGGGGCTGTGGTTTGGGAGTGAGGGGTAGGGGCAGGGAACTGGTATATCAGCGCTGCTCAGTGTCCCACATCCTGGTGAGCAAAGGGGGCAGGGGCAGCTCTAACTTTTCTATGACAAAAAAAACTAAAAGCAGATGCCAAAGTGTGTAGATACTTAGAATTTGTTTATTATAATGATAGAGGCACTGGTAGGCTTCTGAATTTCTTTAAAATTGTAACTATATCAATAAAACATTGCCCAACTGATCTCTCTATATATAGTGGTATTTCATTTTAATTGTGGAGGAACATGGATTTTTGGTATTTTAATGAGAGAATTTGGGGTTTTTTTATCAGAGAATTTGCGATTTTTAGATGAGGAACACCAGGATCTCTATCGGTGAAGCAAGGGGCAGGAACTAGGCAGAGGAGCCTGCCCAGGGACAGCACTGAGGACCTAGCTGGAGGGCAGATGAGGTGGCTGACTTCCTGGCCATTTGGGGCCAGGAAGGGAAACGTTGACAGTAGGCCACTGGAAGGACCACATCTTCTAGGTGATAGCTGTCCAAATGGCAGAGCCAGGGCACCAGAAAACATGAAAGCAGTACTGCCCAAAGGCCATATCCATGGCCCACGGGCAGCTGGCCCAGAGGTGAAGGTGGCTTTGCTGCAGTGCCCATACCATAGCCCCGGTGGCCATGCGGCCCCCGTCTAGGTCTAGCAGATGTGCCGCCATGGGGCTGCAGGTCCAAGGGGGTGGATGCTGTTGCAGGTGGCAGCAGGTCACAGCCAGGCCCCAGCCCCCCCTGCCAGACTGCTGCAGTGGGTAGAGGGTGCAGGGGCCACTAGGTTAGGGCTGCTTCACAAGGGGCTAGTGTCCCCAGGTACCAACTGGCCCCAGCCTCAGAACCTCCTGTCTTATTTGTATCTTCCATATTAACATGGGCCTTAAGGCCCGCCCAGCTAACTAATAGCCTCTTTGTGGGGCCAAAGGGTAAAAGATGCAACTAATTTCTTGGGATAGAAATGATGTGGGGGTCAAAGGATCAAAATGTGAAAATAAGTTCTCTAGAGGGGGACCTCAGAAGCCCCTGAGGGCACGTAGCCATGAGCTGCTAGCCAGGGCCACTGCAAGCACTTGGCCTACAGGGCAACTATGGCCATGATTCTTAGCCTTGAGAGACTTGTGGGGGGGTGCTTGGCCAATGCCAGCTCTTAGCTTCCATTAGGTGTTTCTGACTGTGGAAAAAAAACAGAGCAACTCTCCTGTTGCAAGAGTCCTGAGAACTGATCTGTTCTCTGACACGTGGGGGCTGAGTCCTTCCTGGCTCCACCAGCCTCAGGACAGCATGAGCAGCAGAGACCAGGGCTGTTCCAGGAAGGAGGCCACTGGGCCTGCAAGAAGAGCCCCAGCCCAGCCCCTTCAATGCCAGATGGGGTTCTCCCCATGGTGCTGCACCCCCATGCATCATGCAGCTCAAGCCAGCAGCAGGGCAGGTGCATGCCATTGTCACCCCGCAGCACTTAAATATGAAATTATTGTAGTGCGAGTTCTAAATGATGGTATTTGCTGAGAAACTATTGTACACTGAAGAAACATGCAAATCAGTATGCAAATACATCTTCTTCTTTACTTTATATTGCTCACACCAGTCAGTGAGTGAGTGAGAACTGGGTCATCAAAGTTGAAGCATTGATTTCAAGGCCAGCAGCCATAAGAGAGTGCCAAAAGCCAAAAGTCAGTTAAGGCTCCCAGAGGGTGACTTGGGTTTTATTTAAGCTGCATCAATGAGCTGCCTCAAAAATTACTGCACATTTTGTGGATGTACTTGGTAGCCATGTTCGGCTGAGATGAAAAGAAATGCAAAAATCTAGACCTCTTGGTTTCAAAACGATACCTTTTATTAGAACAACTGAGGAATCGCAAAAAAATATCCTTTTCTCCACCCTTTGGGCTCAAAGGCCGTTCATCAGGCTCTGGGAAAAGTATAGATCGTACATTTTGAACACTTCTACTGCACATTGTACAAAAGTTGACATTATCCTAGAAATACGGTAATTATCCTACATCAGGTAACACAGCACCACGCCCAGCCCCGCCCCGCGCATGCGCCACAGCTAACTGCGCGCCTCAAGCCTAGCCCCTACAGGCCGGCGGCCGCGCACCAAGCCCCGCCCCTCCTCTCCGCCCGCAGTGGTGGAACAGAAGCCCCGCCTCCTCTGGGAGGGATGCCCTGTCAGGTTGGCTGTTAACGGCTCTGGAAGGGGCGTGGCTGGGCGTGACGTGAGAGCGGCGCGCGGCGCAGAGCGTGACGGCGGAAGCCCCGGCGAGTTCGGAGGCAAGCGGGTCGGAGCGCGCGCCCGCCCGCCCGCCCTTCCCCCCGCCGGGCCCTGGGGGCCGCTGGGGGCTCCGTGTCCCGGCCGGGCGGCAGGAGAAGCCTGGCCCTGGGGACGTCGGTCGGCTCTCCCGCGCTCTTCTCCCCGGCGGGCAGGAGGAGCGGGCGCGGTGAGTGCCCCACCCCACTTGCTGCGCGGGAACCCTCGCGCCGCCTGGGCCCCGCCCCCTGCTGCTGCCGCCTCGCTTTGGCTTTGTTGCCCCTGACGCGCATGCGTGGGGTGGGCGCTTGGCTACCCGCACGTGCCGCGCTGCGAGGTCTAGAATGGCGTGAGGTAGCGGGCGTTGTGTGAGGGGACACCTGAGAGGCCGGTCCCTGCCCGAGTCCGAAGTCAGTCAGGAGGTGGGTATCGGAGTGCCTTTGGAGAGTGACAGAGGAGGGAGTGTGTTGTGTGTGTCAAGTCTTTTTTTGATGCATGTCTGTATCCCTGTCAGTGTGATAACTTTTGCTGATGCTTTAAGTGTGAAATCGGTGAAGTTTCTTTGTGGAGATGTACATTTTTGGCCCTTTTAATAAGGGGGGAAAAAAGTGTAACACAAGCTTGTGTGAGCCCCAGTTCCCTTCATCAGATGCTGGGAGAGGATGTGCAGAAGGCAGAGTCTTCGGGGGGAGGGGGGAAGAAACTGGAATGCAAAAGCTTTTCCTTTCTGTTCTTACAGTCTGCCTCGTGTATCCTTTCCCAGCATCTGTTGGAGGGATCTGGGGTTCACAAAACGCACATACAAGCTCACAAAACACGCACTGTCTCCCACACACCTCTCTCTGGATAGGCATCTATAGCTACCTGTATCTAGAGCAGCGTTTCTCAACCCAGGTCGCAACCCAAAAGTGGATCTCAAGAATTTACAAAAGGGTTGCAAACAAACTTGAACAGTGGATCAACAAACTTTTAAAATGGATTCTTCTTTAAAAGGGAAAAACTTGGCAAACTGTGACTTTTCCCTTGCAGGATGGTAGAGCTCCAGCTTGCCAGGGGCTGCTTGGGCCCCCCCCTTGCCCCACACACCCACCCCCTGACCTACACACTGTGGGGACAGGGCAGTGGGTCAGGAGTGAGAGGCACTGGTTGGCACTGGCTATCGATGTTGACAAATGGGTCCTGGTACAAAAAAGGTTAAGAACCTCCAGAGGCCAGTCGGGAAGTGGGGGCAATCAAAGCGCGCAAAAGCAAAACCAGAAGTCTGTGGGAGCAGAAAGCCTAACTACTTTTAAGAAGTGAAGTCATTAATGTATGTATGTTGGCCTGTAAGAGTAAGGGAGTGGATTTGATGATCTAAGGCGATGGTGTTCAACTCATCTGGCCGTCTGAGTTAGGGCCTGTCTGCAGAGGCTGGATCCAGCATGTGGGACCATGTTATGGAGTTACCCATGGGCCCAGAAATTTACTGGCACGGGAGCTGCAACAGTGTTAATTGTCATGGCTCTGGGAGCTGTGGTAATTAATGCTGCTATACCACTCCCTTGTCAAATTTCCAGACCCGTGAGTAGCCCTGTAGGCTGAATGACATGGCTCTGTGGGCCATATCTTGGTCACCCCTGACCTGGGGGATCCTTTTAGAGGAACAACAAATCTACTTCCCCTAATCAAAAGAAACTTCAACTTTAATATTTATGGACTTGGGCATTGTTGATTTGTTTGCTACATAAAGGAACTAAGGTTGTATGAAGGAGGCCTATCCCTAAATTGGGGAATTTAAATAGGATAGCCTTGTTTTATATTTTCTTAAGCTTTTTAATGTTTTCTGGTGGGAGATATTTCAAGATTCTGGGGCAATAGTTTTTTAGTTGGTTCCTGAGTTTATAGCAAAGTGGGAGGAACTTTGATTCCCAGGCCAAATCTGGCCCACAGGATCTATCGCAGGGTGGGCAAAATATGGCCCACAGCCTGGATCAGGCCCACCAGTTAATTGCATCTGGCCTGTGGCACTTGGATGGGAGACGGTGCCAAGGCATCCTGTGCCACACTCCTACTGCACTCCTGCCTGTCGCATCCCCAGCCAGTGTGCACAGCTTCTTTTCAGGGCTGCTCTGGTTGTGGCTACAGCTGCCTGGGTACTGCTCAGCTGTCCCCACTTCCAGAAGCTCCTCCTCCGGCCCCTGCTACACTGGTCTGGGTGGCAGGCAGTCACGGGAAAGGAATGGTGGCTGTGGGAACATGTGCCAGGCACCACACACCCAGCCAGGTGGGTGGGGAGGTGTGGGGAAGCTACAGCTGGACAACTTCTGCCTCAGCATGCAGGGCTCCAGCTCCTGGCCAATGTTCCCTCTAAGGTGTAGCAGTCCATGAGTGCGCCGTTTCGATCCGTTCCCGAATTGGTCCCACCTCCCCCTTTTGGCGCGCGCCACTTTGGTCTGCCTCACAGTATAACAAAAAAAGATGATACTATAACCTTTATTTACCAAAGTGACTCCTGTCTACCTTTTTCTGTTTTCCAAGCAGAATATACAGTGTCCAGGTTAACAGTCTTTCCTGATGCTAAATGAAGTTTACTTTGCATCAGCTTGTCCAGATTATCAGCTTCTAAATGATTTCCAGACTTTGTTTTTATTGTGTTCATGAGGCTAAACCC